GCAAGAAAATCCGCCAATAAGCGCAGGACCCACCAAGATAGAGGAGGAACTTTGTCACAGCAGAAGTAAACGGCATTCATCTCCCTTCCCCTCCCTCACCCCCACCCCCACAGTCTGCAAGGCACAAAAAGACTGAAGTACCAGTAGCTGGGCTTCACACATCTCATTTGTCATCAAAGACCGTTACCGCGGGTGACTTATGTCAGGTAGCATGACTCCTAGTTGAGAAAGGATGAGGAGCTCATTAATGGAGCACTAAGCACTGGAATGACTAACAACAGGGACAGATTGCTGTGATTTCTGGAAGTGTATGAGGCGTCTTTCTAACCTGCTAGAATTTGACAACTGCCCAAATACACAGTGGCTAAAGGATCCTGACTACATAAGTCTGATTAGACATTTTAAAGCTGCTTTGGATAGAGGGACTGCCCAGAGGGTATTAAAGGGTGGTTACGGTGACTGAAAATGGCATTGTGGGGTCCCATATTTACTACCTCTGAGACACTCCAGAGAAAACAGAGGTGGCTAAATGCTCTTCAGAGTTTACCAGACCCAGTGGAGGGAGATGAGCCAGAGACATCATGAAGTCCCCTCTTCGACAATTTTATGTGGGAGGCAATCAGACCTACAATGAAGGCACCAGTACAAAACTAAGATAGAGAAATGGCATTTTTTGTCAAATTATATGCATTGGGGTTTTTTGCAGTATCCAATGGCTCTATTTGGCCAGGTCTACACTACAAAATGATGTTGACCTAAGTTACATCAGCATAGAGCTGCCACAGTGATTACATAACCTCTGAGTGTCCACACTACACGCTTTAGGTTGGCGGTGCGCATCGTCACCAGGAGCACTTGTATCGATGCAGAGTGTGGTGCACCGTGGGTGGCTATCCAGCACAGGGTGTTTTGGGAAGTTTTTGCCTCGCCTCATGGGGCAAAAACAAGTTGTGCCGGAGTGACTGGAAACATGGGTTCAACTTCCCATCATGCCGTGTTCTCCATCCCATAATTTCATTTGCATCCCATACTATTTCACGCCTCTTTTCAAAATCCCCGCAAACCCGCGTGTCCCTCCTTGCTATCTGCCATCCCAGCTCTGCACTATTGCGATGAGCAGTGTGAGCATGGGTCACCTGATTCTGCAGTATTTACAGAGCCGCAAGAGGAGCTGTGGGGAACCCGATTCCCTGGCGGCTAGCTTGCTGTGGGACGTAGAAAGGAGCAATTCAAGATTGTTGGCGGCGCTCACGGAGCAGCTGCAGATGGTGGGGCGCTGGTTCGGGGCCCGAGAAACAAGCACTGACTGCTGGGATCGCATTGTCATGCAGGTTTAGGATGACCAGCGGAGGCTGGAGAACTTTTGGATGCACAAGGCCACATTCCTGGATCTGTGTGCTGAACTCACCCCAGCCCTCCAGTGCAGGAACACCAAAATGAGAGCCACCCTGACAGTGGAGAAGCCAGTGGCAATAGCACTGTAGAAACTTACAATGCCAGATTGCTACCAGCCAGTCGGGAATCAATTTGGAGTTGGGAAATCCACGGCGGAGACTGTTGTGATGCAAGTGTGCAGGGCAATTCA